ACCCCAGGACCCCACAGTCATGCCGAGTGGCCTGCGCCGGTGGGACGCCCTGCCAGACCGCCGTGCCAGACTCGGGGTCAGGAGCAGGGAGCACACCACGACCGGGACTCAGGAGCGGACCATGCGAGGGCCGGGCCTCAGGGCTGGGCTTATCTCTGCTGGGGAGGAAGGGCACCTCTCTCAGGCCTCCCTCTGGGTGACGCTAGGAGGGCAGAGGCTGCCACCTCCTCGCCCAGGGGAAGTAGCCTCACAGGGGAAGGGCACGTCCCCCCACCCGATGCCCAGAGGTGACTGCCCAGGTACACCGAGGCAGCGGGCAGAGGGCAGCGGGAGCGAGCGAGTGGAGAGTGGAATGAATAAACAGCTGCATGGGAACAAGCGAGGGCAGGGCGGGTGGGCGAAGGAACAGATGGGCAGGTGGGCAGGTGGACAGGTGAGCAGGTGGGCAGGTGGACGGGTGAACGGGTGAGCAGGTGAACAGGTGGGCACGTGAGAAAGTAGGCAGGTGGGCAGGTGAGCAGGTGGACAGGTGAGCATGTGGGCAGGTGGGCAGGTTACATCAGAGGACGAGCAGACATCTTAGTAGATAAACAGTTAATGGAATGGGGCGACCAAGCTCGGGCCAAGAGTACACGACCCAGTGAGTGGACAGTCCGGGCCAGACCCAAAGTGCCTGCCCCCGCCCCCTGCCCATGGGACCGGGGTGGTGCACAAACGGCTTTTAAAATAAGATTTCCTTTAGGCCAGTTCTACGTTTACAGAAAAGTTGCAAAGACGGTACAGTGAGTTTGCACGCAGCCCACACCCAGGTCCCCGTTACCAACATCTGACACGGGTGCCACATTCGTCACAGCACGTCAATCAGTATCGATCGTCATTGTTAACTGAATACAGCCGCGCTTTGTTCACATGTCCTCAGTGCTCCCCAAGATCCTTGTCTGTCCGGGACCCCACGTCACGCTTAGTCGTCACGGCCCCTCGGGCTCCTCGGGCTGGGACACTGTCAGACGTCCCGTGTTTGCGATGATGTCGGCAGCTTTGAGGACGGTGCCGTTGTGCAGGGCGCCCTCTGCTGGGAGTACGTGGCGATGAGGCCGGGCTGTGGGTTTGGGGGGAGGGCCACAGGGGTGCGGCGCCCTCTCCTCCCGACATCTCGGGGCACACGCTCCAAAGTGGCCTCTCCCTGGGATGCCGACCTGGCTCACCTGGCTGAGGTGTGAAGGCCAGGTTACGCGCCCCATGCCGCAGCCCCGGGAAGGGGGAGACGTCGTCGTGGGCAGCCCCCTTCAGGGGCGGGCGTCTGCTGCCTCCCTCGTGGGGCTCGGGGCTCCCCAGCACCGGCAACTTGCCTCTTCTCCCCGTTCAGGTGTTTCTTCACCATCCAACGGCCACAGCGTGGTTTCAAGGACGCCTGTGCCCTGCGGTGGCTCCCAGCCCAATATGACGTTTTCGGTTTTCTTGCTCAAATGTTCCAGTTTCGGCCGCTGGGGGCTCTTTCCGTCGGGCCTCGCGGCAAAACAGCTTCCGTTAACCAATTACGAGCTGAGGGAGAGAGAGGAAAAGCATGTCCCTGGGTGGCAAATAACCTCACACACATGTGCACACGCAGACGCGTACACACGCGCGCTCACACACGCGCACACACACAGACGCGTACCCACACGCGCGCTCACAAACACACACGCACACACAGACGCGAACACACACGCGCTCACAAACACACGCGCACACACACGCGTACACACACGCGCTCACAAACACACACGCACACACAGACGCGTACACACACGCGCTCACAAACACACACGCGCACACAGACGCGTACCCACACGCGCGCTCACAAACACACACGCACACAGACGAGTACACACACGCTCACAAACACACACGCACACAGACGCGTACACACGCGCTCACAAACACACACGCACTCACAGACCGTACACACACGCGCTCACAAACACACACGCGCACACAGACGCGTACACACACGCTCACAAACACACACGCGCACACACAGACGCACACACAGACGCGCACACACAGATGCGCACACACAGACGTGTACACACACGCGCTCACAAACACACACGCGCACACAGACGCGTACACACACGCGTGCTCACACACAAGCACACGCACACAGACGCGTACACACACGCGCACTCACAAGCACACACACACAGACACGTACACACACACGCACGCTCACAAGCACACACATGCACGTGCACACGGACACACACACACACACACTCACACACACGTTCGCTCTTACACGGACACATCGAAGTCCAGCCTCTCCCCTGGACATGGAGACGGGAGGCAGCCTAGCAGGCGTCAGGTGGGGCCCGGCCCTCAGGACCAGGTCTGCGGGGTGGGAGAGGCTGCCCCTCGGGGCTCCCACGGGCTGCCCTCGAGGTGGGTGGCTACCCCAGGCGCCCAGAGAAGATGGCTGAGCGGCCGAGGGCTGGGCAGGGCCCGCTGTTCCTCAGAAGCCACATCCTCTTGCAGAGGGTGCTGGTGGGGGAGGGTGTGGCTGAGCCGAGGGGCAGGGCTCACGGGGCAAACGTGCCTTGTGCCCGGCACGGTGGCGCTCAGCAGGGGTAGATCACAAGCCCAGGCCTGGCCCCCGCTCCAGAGGGTTTTCTCCAGACGCAGCGTGGAGGCTCCGGGTGGCGGTCAGCACGCACTGTCACCGTGCTGTGCACCCGGGGGGCTGCGGGCTGGGCTTTTCCCACCAGCGTGGGAGAGCGAGGTGGGCACAGCGCAAGGGGCTCCTGCCGCAGGGGGCGGGGTCGGGTGCCCACCCTTCCTGGTCCGGCACCTTCACTCCGGCCTCGTCCCCCTTCAGCCCTGAGCCCCAGCCTGAGCCACGCCCGGCTCCGCCTGCAGCGACACCACCACAGGCCCACGGCACTGGGGGTCCCCGCCTGCCCCACAGGCCGGGGTGGGCTCAGGAGCACCCCACACGGCCAGACGTGCAAAGGAGCCAACTCCAGCCGTGCATAGGCAACCCTCACCCCATCCGCGTGGCCCTGAGCATCAACCTGGCCAGGCCTGGGCCCAGGTGGTTGGTGTCATTGCGTGTCCCCGGCCCACGGTGGCACCCAGAGGCCCGCTTAAACCGGCCCGCATGCGTTTGGGGTGGCAGCCCTGCCCCGGCCTCCAGTCCCCCCATTGCTGCAAGCCTCCCTCGGAGGCCCCGCGTGGGTGCAGGTGAGGGCCCCGGCCCACCCCGTGCCCCCAGGATGGCTCTGCCCCAAACCCCCTGATTGTGCCTCAAAAATCAAATTACCTCCTCAAAATCGAGGCGTCACAGAACATTTCAAATGGCGTTTTGTAAGACGATGCTTCATGTATGATGGCCCGATTAGACCCTGCCCCCCGAGTTCCCCCGGGGATTACGGCCAGGCCGGGACTCCCCAGGGAATTCTGCCTCTGCTCACACACTCCTCAGACGGGGAGCTCACCTCCCGCCCAGGTGCCGTCGTCCCACGCACCTGCCTGCTCCCCGGGTGGCCTCTGCTGCCAGGGCAGGAACGAGGCCGCGCCCTTCCAGGACAGGTGGCTCAGATACCCCCGGACAGCCAGGGCCGGGGCAGCAGCGGTGGCAGGGGCTGGCCTTGCCCTTCCCCTTCCTGCCTGCCCTTCCGGGGGCCCCCGCAGCTCAGTTCTCAGGGTGTGTTGACAGACGGGTGGACGCAGCCTACCTCCTGAGCGGGCAGCTTCAGCCGGAGGCCCCTGGCCCAGCTAGCAGGGGGCGGAGAGGGCAGAGACCACCATGGGCCCTCGGAGCCGAGTCAGGGCGGCCAAATGCCAGATGCTGGTCACCAGCTTCTTCGTCTTGGTAACAGGCAGGTGGGGCGGGGTTGGGGGCGGGAGCTGTGTGCCTG